ACAGCAGATTGGAAAGATCTGGGCTCACTGCCCAACTAGTTACCAAAGTCAGTGTACGGGAGAAAAACTCAAGACCACAAATACATTCTTTTCCCTCCTGTGCGGCTGTACATGCAAATGGTATGTACAGATCACATGTGATCAGAGACATGTTGAAGGATGTCATTGGGAAACCTGTCTAACTTCTTTCTCCCAACTGTACCATGAAAGATCTCATCCTAAGAAAGCCTTGCCTTTCGCATCATTTCTGTGTCGTTGTGAATACACAACCGTTTATGTAGACTGTTAAGCAAACAATGCAATCCCAGTACATTAGGAATAGATTTTGGATTCTGGTAAGGGATTGTTTTAGAGCATAGAACTGTATGTGATTTCCCCCTCCCCCGCCCCGCAATACACCTATAGAATCACAGAGAAGTCGGGCTGGAAGGGACCTCCAGAAGTCACCTAGTCCAACCCAGTGCCTGAGGCAGGATCATAAGTTGCTTGTGTTTTGGTTGGGGTGGAAGGGGAGGAAATGTGTTTGCACTGTTTGTTAGGAAACAATGTGGTGCCAAAGAATGTTAGAAACAGCAACTTGAGATTTAGGGTCATTATTGGTGCAAAAAGAAGTGGAGGTGAACACCTACCTGGCAGTTACTTGGCATGCAGAAGCAGTTGGTCTAATTTTGTTTTACTTGCAATTGAATGCAGTGAATAGGACACTTAGTAAATTCAAATGTACGCTGGAATAGATTCTTCAAATGCATCCAATAGCGTGCACACAAGAAATTGATAAAATACGTTTTGTTCTGCCACAAATGTTATTTATAGAAATTGACTTTTGAAACAGCAGGCTTCAATTAACTCAAAAATATTTTAAAGAACTAATTCTTGCTTTTTTTCAATATCTGAGTCTATGCCCAAAATTGTTTACAGAGTTGTTTTGGTTGTTCTCCAAAGTTGGAATTAGAAAAAAAAAGAAAAAAGAAACAATGAAATCCAATCTATGAAATGACACTTTCTCTTAGCCTATATGATCTTGATTGTAATTCTGGCCAGACACTAACATGATTTTAGCCAAATCATTAACTCTTTTCAGGTTACTTTCTTCTTCAATTCATTCTTTAAAAAAATCTTTCATATTCTTTTTCCTAATTTATCTTAACTTTCTTTTTCTTTTCTCCTAGTTCTCCTTGGATTTTTCTACCATCTGTAACAATGTGTACATAATGATTCAACTTTAGAAAATAGAAATGGCATCAGCTATAGGTATAGCTATATTCTTTGGCAATGGGAAAATAGTGTAAGATGCATGGGAATGAAAGCAGGCAAAATCCTTTTCTCCTTACTCTCCAAGTAGCTCCATTAAATTCACTGGGATTTTGTATTTGTATAGAGCAAACTGGATCAGGCTCTATATATTTTATAGTAAGTGAACTTAATAAATGTAGTCCCCTAATGGAATATACCATAATTTCATGTATTTTTATATTTTCACTTATTTACTTCTGAGAAATGAAAATAATCTGAGTATTTTAGATATTCATTTGTGGTTTTTTTTTTAAATATAATTTAAACTGTGCCAGTGTATAAATAATATAAAGGAGTAAACTCTTCTCCCTTCAGGCCCGCCCAACTGTTGTTGGTACCAATGAGAGTTGTATCCAAGCTTCTGTGTAATTAATTTTGGTGCAGTTCATTTGCATAAATGACCTGATGAAAAATTATTTATCTGAGTAAAAAGAGCAGGATTTGGCCTTTTTATGTTGGAAGCCTCTGTGTACTGTCATGTGAAAAGTACTGAACACTTCCAAAAAGGTGATGCCGTGGGGAGCTGAGGGTATTCAGGCTCTTGCAGGAATAGTTCCAAATTAGCATTTGCTGTCCTTTTGTAAGCTTACTTTAATTTATTGATAAAAATAATTTATTATTTTTAGGTTATCGCCCCATTCCAGCAGATCCCTACCTAGGAGGGAATTCACCCTTACCAGCACCTGTCAGCGACCGGATGAGAAAAAGACGGGCTTTTGCTGATAAAGAGCTGGAGAACATTATGCTAGAGAGAGAGTATAAAGAAAGGGAGATGATAGAAGCTACTCAAGCTGCTACCCTTTTTCTGCCTAACCATATGATGCATGGAACTGAATACAATTCCTACAAAACTGCCTTTAATCCCTCTCAGATTGAAGCTCCCAATAAGGAATTTTGCAATTTCTTACCAACCTGCCTTGATCTAACCATGCAGTATTCAGGATCTGGGAACATGGAACTGATTTCTTCAAATGTCAGTGTAGCCACTACCTACAGACAGTATCCCTTATCTTCTAGGTTCTTGGTGTGGCCAAAATGTAGCCCCATCAGTGATGCTCTTCTCTATCAGCAATGTTTATTAAATGCTACCACTGTCCAGACTCTCAAACCGGGGGCAGGCTGGGACTCCAAAGTTTCACAAAGTCAGGATTGTCTAAACTTGGAGCATGACATGATGTCACCAAAAATTGAAAGCTCACTTGTCTTTTCTCACCCTCGAGAAACTCGGCAGTCTCAAAGTGATGTTCAAAGTGCCCCCCGAGATGCCCGGGAGAGGTCAGCTTTCTCCCCTCCGAAAAGAGCTTTCTCACAAATTTCTGATAAAGATTCTCTGGCTACACAAGAGCATGTCTTAAGCAAGATTAGCAAAGAGAGTACCAAGTACCCTGCCCCACTCAAGTACAGTCCATTTCACTCGCTGCTCCAGCAAACGCTTCATGATAAATCAAGCTCTGAGTTAAGACCATCATTTGTAAAAGAGACCTTTGAAGAGGCTTCTAAGAAGTACAGAGAATGCTCCATCAAAGAGAACCAAAAGTATAAATTTACAATAGACAGATATGCAAAAGACTTTTTTGGGGCTAAACAAGCTGCAACAAAACTCTCAACAAATGAGCCTCTGTCATTTTCAGTTGAATCAATTCTTAAACGGCCCTCTTCTGCAGTCAGCAATGTCTCTCAGTAGACTGCATATTCAAAGTCAAGTTTAAAAGCTTGTCCTCAGCAACTGTTGCCACTGTTTGCCTTTTCTCTCCAAAATTTTATACAGAGGAATTTGTGATGTAAATGGTGATTTTTTTTTTTAAATATGTACATAATTATGCATGTTCTCTCTCATGAAAATAAATATATTTAAATTTTTAAAGTGAAAACTGTGAATGTGCAGATTGTAAAGCACTATGCTTTATACAGCTTTCCAAACACTACAGCTCTAAAGCGAGGTTTATTGTGAGTCCAATCCAATACCACTAGCAGGGCAAAGACTAGGCATTGTTTCTGCCTTGTGTCTCTATTCCCTCCCCAGCAGTGGAAGGATTAATTCACTTGCAGAACATACATATTGTATTATTTGCTGTGATATCTATACTAGCTGTATTATATCTATAGATTTGCTAAACGTATACAAGGGACTAATATAACATCTCTGCTAATTATTTGCTATGCTGGAGTAACCCATCACTTCATGGAACAGGTTATATGCCAGTGTGCCCATGTTAATCTTTCCATTGACTGCAGTGGGCTTTGAATTTGAATTCTGAGCATGATTGTCATTCTGAAAGGATAACTTTTAGGCTAGTTTATCCTAGAGAACGAGCTTATTTTTGGCCTTGCTTTTGAAATCTTCCTCTTTCAAGCAAGAATGTTACTTGGTCAATTATGAAGTGTGGAACTAGGGATGAGGATAGGAAAGATGGAAAAGAAAATTCCAGTGATATTTTAGTTCGTAAGTTCTCCCTGCCTACCTTCCCAGATAAAGATCTTTTCTTGTGTCCAAAGAGTCATTAAAATTCTTCTCAGGTTCTTCACTAACTTTAATATTTCATTTCCTAAACTGGTCACTCTTGCTAATGCAATCAGGTTAGATAGATGTGTTGTCCTAATTGAAATGCACTGTATGTGGTTAAAAAATTGCATAGGATGAATGCTAAAGAATTTAAAAAATGCTATAAAAGGTAAAATTTAAAGTATAATAATTATTTTATAAAAGGTAAAAAATAAGTATCTTTAAGCAATAAAATGAGGTTAATTGGTAGAAACCACCATGGCATGAAGCCTCCTTCAGAAAGTAGAAATCTTTATTTTTTGGATTCTATGGTTTATACACTTACTACATTTCTTGAAACTGTTAGGTTTTTCTTTTAACATTTTGAAGTCACCAGACCTTCCCCCCCCTGTTTTCCTTATATACCCTAACCTTAATCCTATCAAGTGTGTTTGTTTAGTCATATTTGTTTTACAGTCATAAGGTTTTAGTAGAGCAGGATGAACAAATATCAGTGGAAGATAAAAGTCAGACTGTGAGCAGAATTATTGTTGTGTCAATTTATTCCCTATTCAAATGGGTTCAATGACCTTTATTCATAAACAAATATCAGCCTATTGATTGGCAGTACCGGGAATGTTTCTTCAAGTGTTTGATAACTGAGTTGGCTGAGTAGAATTACCTGAGTATCATGACAGTGTTCTTTTCCCTGACTGAGTGATGTGACTTTTATGAGCTGCTTTTATCTCTCTCAGGGTTTTTATACTATTGCTCATCACTGGAGAATCTGAGTACTTTCTATGTAAAATCCTCCCCATGGCAGGGGGACGGACATGATGATCTGCTCAGGCCCCTTCCAACCCTACCAACTATCAAACTATGAAACCAGTGGTAGTGAAGTCTGTCTTTTGCCTAAAAACTAGTTTCATTTAGTAGTAATAAAAACAAATGTTTTTAAATTTAGCAAATCCTAGCCACAGGCTCAAAATTCAAATGGAATAAACATTAATACAAACAGGACTGTGCTTGTACAAACATTAAAATTATGCTCTCAATGTTGCTTCCATTGTGTTTACACCACTTTTTAAAGTCCCTGAGAAAATTTGAGTTCCTTTTTCCAACTCTGTCCCTGAGCCATCTCCCATTATGGTCAGTGGAAAGACTACTAATGAACTAGGAGGTAAATCAGGCCTTATTTGCATAGCTTTAGATGGTAGCTGATGGTGAATTCACATTCACTGTGAATCGCAACAGTCTACTAGCTTTTGCCTTTTCATATCTCATGGTTTTATTACCATGCCTTTGTTCTTTGGCTGTGAAATGCTAACAAAGTATTTTAATTTAAAATGTTATTTGTTTCTCAAGCTGTTGGCGTAAACTGTGATGAGAGATGAAAGGAAACTAAACATCCAGCCAATGGATCAGTATTATGCTTTGGGAATCAGTCCTACATAAATATCTCTTTGTCTGACAATGGACGTGACTAACTTTGTTCAATGCAAAATCAGAAATCAATTTCCTAGAGAAGGATAATCTTAATGTATGTCTGAAATAAATGCAGTAACTCATGACCTCTTTTAAAGAGCCAATTGAGATAAGCACACACACATTCTGGGGCAATTCCAACTTCTTAAATTTATATTCCAGGTAATTTTTTTTTCAAAGCACAATAATTGGAAGGGGAGTGACATTTCTATTATTACTCCTCCCTAGAAATGTGCCCCTTGAGAAGAAATGGGGCCAAATCCTGTCAGTTTTACTGCGCAAGTAGTCCCAGCACAGTCAAGATTTAGTCTGCTCTGTCTTGTCACTGTCTCATTCATTACTGTAGGTTTTATGATTTATTTCTCTTGGTACTTACTTTTCTTTCTTTTTTATAACCCAGGGGTTCTCATGAAACTGTAAATATCTTTCATGTAGTTTAATAACTCATCACTCCCAGTTCTGTTTTCTTTTCTTCCTTGAAAACATTTGTGTATCCAATTAGCGCTCAGGGAAAGGAAAGATGAATAATCTGAGTCGGGTATCATGCATATAAAATGCTGTGTGAGCTTCCTCACAGCGTTCTGCCTCATCTACAGCATTGCTGCTTTCTCCTCAAACTTCTCTTTGGCAGAAGTTGTCAGTAGTGTCCAATGGCACAATTGTTTGGTGACATGACTAGAAGAGACCACAACTATTATTTTCAGTTTTGAGGTTTTGAACCCAGCTCACTTGCTGTAACTGTCTAATGCAGTGATTTTTCTACCTTTCTTTCATCTGTGGACCCCTGAAATTTTTTGAATGGATGTTCAGACCCCTTTGGATTGTTAAGTGTGCGTATTCACATACATTTCTTTTATGGACCCCTATAGTCCGCAGACCACAGGCTGAACACCAATGTCTAATGCATTATTTAGGAGCCATACCTATCTTCTCCCTATCCCTACTATTTTGTTTGGTCTTGTGATAGGTCATCTGTTGAATCAACTTTATACCACTAATTTTTTGTATATCATTTTTTTATACCATTTCCCTTAGGTATATGAAATGTGAGCCCAGGTCTGTTTCTTCTGTAGGTATCCACTACTCTTCCTGCAGTTTTAGTCATGACCCATTTATACTTCACTCAGCTTCTTTTGCTTACCCCTCTGATTTACCCTGTGCTAACCTGAGTCTTTCCTGTGCAACTGTGTATTCTGATCAATCATCTGTTCGTTTTCTTTTAAACATAAAAATGCTGCTTATCATAGCAAAGGGCAAAGCATGCTCATTTGCTCTGCTTGCACGATAACAGGAACCTTGTGGATGCAGTTGCCAGAGGACGCAAAACCAGCTGTAATTACTGTGCATTTTGTGTGCAAGAGGAGCTGTCTCTTCATTTCTAACAATGTGGAGGGGGTGGGGGGCCTAAGGAGACAAGAAATTCTGAGAGTATGCCTGGCTCAACACCTCTAGCTTGCTTGTCTGATGTACAGGCCCAGGAATGTGTTAGAGTTATTGGCTCAACACTTGTGAATTTCTGACCCTGTGTCAATATAGTGACCTCTTTGAGGTCACTAGGCCAGCCTGTCTAGAGTACCATAACATTTAAGCTTATGTCAAAGCCAGAATTTCTCTAAGGTCTCTGTTTCTAGTCAGCTGGGCTGACAACAAGGCATAGACCTATGTGAGGTGACTGACTAATCAGTCACCATTTTATCAGCTGAGGTCAAGGTTAAAGACCTCTGACAAGCCACGAGCTAAATATTTTGGATGTTGTGGGCGTCTGTGAGATGACTATTTCACTACCTTTTTCTGGCCGAGAGTACCAAGACTTAGCAGCCCTGGGTTATCAAGGTACTGTGACAGCACAGGTCTCTTTGAGGTTACTGTAGCCAACATTCATTAGCACTTAGTTGCAGCTGGTCTCTAACTTGCTCAGAACTATTTCCTTATTTTAACCACAGCACAACTTATGTTTTCATTTTGATTTGTCAGCTTGTTTTGATAAAATGATTCAGCTCTCACACTGAGTGCTTTCCATTCATCTGACCTTGATGTGAGAGATAACTACTTGGAATCCTCGCTCTATGATGGATACGATCCTCACTTGTATCATCAAGTTCCTTTCCCATTGAATCTTTGCCAGCTGAGTAGAATACAGTAAATATGATACCTCCATTCCAATCAGATAAGTATTGGCCATTTCTCATTTGATTGTACTAAAACCAAGGCAAAGTACTTGAGCAAGCTTGGCCAATGGTAAGGCACGTTTTGGCAGGTGGTTTATCTGTGGAAAGAGTATAAGCATAATGAGGGGCCAGGGTCAAGCTGGGCAGGGTCAAGTTTAATATGCAAGAAAAACATATAAATGGAAAAAAGTGTTTATTACTGGAATCTTTATTAGAGTATTTATTAGCACCCTGGCCCCCACACTGCTTCTTCAGTGAAATCGGGGTGATTCTGCTGTTTTGGTGTGTGGGACAGAAATAAGGCGTGCGGGGCTCAGTCTACATCATGTAGAGCATCCAAAATAGGTGGTGTGCTGCAGGAGTTACAGGAATGTCCGGCAGGTTTGTTACCACTCAGATTTGCCAGTTCAGCTCCCCTGCTTGGTGAGAGATGGGGATCAGCTACTGCAGGTAAAACTGGCTGTAGTAGTGTCCATGGAGGTGCTACGGGGGTGTAGCAAGTGGGTAGAATTCCATCACTAGACTTAGTGTAGAGGCAAGAGCACTCAGATCTGTGCAATGAAAATTTAGAAGTTGACTGTACAATCAGGGTTATACTGATTGTACTAGCTCCTCCCAGCAATTAAAGGCCTCTTTAGTAACTGATGGGGGAAAAGTGAT